GCCCACATGGGGGTTACAACAGGCTCTGCTTGGGCCCCTCAGCCTGGTCTCATAGCCCTATAAACAGGCATTGGCACATATTTGCAGGCCCGCCTTCACTTAGGGAGGGCACGACACTTTCAGACACTGCCGAGGGACTAAATCCTCGTAAAAAGATCACTGGATCTTATTTAATCAAAAAACAAAAAGAACCGATCAGCGATTGTGCCGGCCTGGTAAAAATAAGAAATAAATCACGCGCACCCACACACTCCTCTTGAACACACAATCGGTCTCAAAAAGAAATCTGGTCGCGACTCGCACGGCGTGCCCAACTTTCTATTCAAAATCATGTTCTGTCACTTGCAAGAGTTCGGGAGGATACCCTTGTAAGGGTATTCACGCCAACACCACATACTTGTCGGCTGAAGTCCTGCATTTTGACACAGCATGGAATCTCTCACAGCAGTGGAGCAATTCCAGATTTTTCCAAGTACTTGAGGCCAAAACCCTGTGTGTCTTGTTACAGCTCAGTCACATGTTGGTACTGCGCAATCGCTCCAGTGGGAGTAGTAGAGGGAGAAGTGGCGCCAGTAGCACTAGGAGTGGTAGCAGGGAATGGAGTTTCCTTACCACAGCCATGAAGTGTGCAGTTTCCCAGCACGAATTTGTCACTTGCTGCACGCAGCAGCTGTGGCAGACGTTGTTGTGATAGTTGCAGTCAGAGTTGTAGTCGTAGTTGTAATGATAGTTGTGGGAGCAGTAGCGTTGGCAGTGGTTGGCACTGCTTGGCAGTGGTATCCCTGGTAGGGGTTATGACAGTTGAATAGTCATGGGAGATATACTTCAAGGGCGTCAAGTGCTTCACGGAATCCGTAAAAGACATTGAAAATTTATTCAATGTCACATTTAAACAGTATAATGCTACAAAGTGCGGCATGCCTCCTTTTTGCATCCTTCCAAATAAACGAATGGGTTCACAACTTCACAGGCAGATAACTGGCCCTGCCCTACTGGCTTACAGGTGTATGATGGCACTCTCTCTCTCTCTTTCTCTCTCTCTCTCTCTCTCTCTCTCTCTCTCTCTCTCTCTCTCTCTCTCTCTCTCTCTCTCTCTCTCTCTCTCTCTCNTCTCTCTCTCTCTCTCTCTCTCTCTCTCTCTCTCTCTCTCTCTCTCTCTCTCTCTCTCTCTCTCTCTCTCTCTCTCTCTCTCTCTCACTCACACATGCACGCACACACATGCACACAAACACACACACACACATCAACCTCCTGACGAGTCCATGAAAGTCTGACGAAACAGTCTGCCACAGTCATGTTTTTCTTGTGGAGTAGTGTATAGCGAACATAAGAACACACACATGAACACACACACACCATCAGTACTTTCTCTGTAATGGGCAATTTACAGGTAGGTGTGAATCACAACATAGGTTTAGGGTGTGCAGTACTACGTATGCACTTGAGTGCTCACAGAAAAGGAAGATGGCCTGAAAAGGACCCACCTTTCCTCTTGCATCGCCTCATCCAGCTGTCTTCTAGCATCCTTTATCTTCAAGTTTGATAATCATATCATAATATTACAATAAAATGTCCACAGCCATACGGCAACTCAGCCCAAAACATTTGGCAAAATTACATGTTGAACCGATAGAGAGATACAAGCAACAATGGCATAAAAAACTCATCAGAGCAAGAGAGACTCGCTTTCACATGAAGAACAGGGTTCACAACTTCAGATGAGCAATGGCTTCTCAGCTCTCAAGTTTTCAACGCTATTGTCATTCAGATCTTTCAGGACCTTCTGCGTCTGCAAGAATGGAGCACAACCCATCTGTTACTTGCTGCAGGTTGCTTGTTAACAGCAGATGAGACAGAGCTGACACATTCACACATTTGCTAACTCACATTTCTGGGTTCAAGTTTTACGCGAACTCTTATGGTGAAGATTTGCTTTCAGACTTTTCTCTGAGAATTTTAAATAAAGTATGCTTTTTTACATGAACCATTTTGATTCTGTAGAGTCTTAACTTCCACATTTTTAAAGCTTAAACCACCACTACCTCTGAGCCTCCTTTTGCCAAGGCGGATTCGCCATGCGTGCCAAGCTTTGCCAAAACGCCAACACAACTTTCTCTTTTCTTCTTTGGCTGGCACTGTAAGCCATTTTGGTCCAGTAGCACCTAATCTCTGAAGAAAACGAAATGTTACATTTTCGATTCTTGAAGTTGCCTGGGAAAGGTAGTGACAGTTTAAAGTCTCGAACCGTAAACCATTTTATCTGAAAAACAATGGAATTGACAGGTCCAAAACTTTGAAAGCATTTCAGTGATTCACTGACCATGGGTTCAAGCCCTGTAGAACAGTGTCAAGGTTGTTTGTCATCAAAGGTTCAAGCTCTACTATTGATTGTTGTTTCTTTCTTTCTTTTCTGTAACAGGTCCTTGTGGTCCTGGCTCATTGTCCATTATAGGCAACATCAGCCTGGTTCATTTTCCTCCAGCAAGTTGTCAATACAGCATATAGTAAAAATACAACAAATGACTTTAAAAATATAGTAAAAATATAGCAAATTCACGGTTACTCCCATCCAGGTCAAATAAACCCCTCAACAGCATTAATTGGCCCTTTACCAAGGAGCCTTAACTGTCAGGCTAGCCTTTTCATTACTAGGCCCCTCTCAAGAGGCCATTTGTAGTGGAGGCAACTCCCCCTGCTCCTTCCTCCACACATATATGCAAGGAAAATGAGCAATGGCAAAATGACAGAAATCCAGAATGCAAAATCACATTGAAAGCCAGAAAGTCCAACGCTGTCCAGAAAGCAGAGATGCGCTGATATTACACCAACGGAGAACCAAAGCACCGAATCCGAATGTCAATGAGAGCATACTCTCGCCACCACCAACATACATATCCAGAGCCCTTCCTCCTTACTTGGCGCTCAGAGCCCAGACTACATTCACACAGCTACTACCAGCCTACGAATTGACAATGCCTGTTGACATCAGCAGCAACAACCGAAGTACATGAAGATGTCAGCCCATGCAGACTATCACCAAGACCAGGCATGTGCCCTCACGTCATCATCCTCGTCTCTCTCTCTCTCATTCTTCCTTGTCTCTCACCCACGTCTTCTTCCCCATGCACGAAGACCACCACCACCTCCACTGGCTGTCCAAGCCAAGCCCTGGCTATGTAGGGCTGGCTATGGCGCTGCCCTCAGCAGCGCCCTGCCTTCTTCCAGCACCCGCGCGCACTGCCTTGCACCTAGCGCTAGCGCACAGCGCACAGCCAGCGAGCGCACGCTCAAGCAGCGCTGTCGCATGCACTGCCTAGTGCCCGAATGTCACTACCAGTGCCGAGCTCTTTCCTTTATGGAAATTGCTCGCCCAGTATGCTGCCTGGCTGGGTCTCATGTATTTCCAGTAGCTTCGGATCGGGCCAAAGTGTCTGTGCCCAGGCCCATTCAGACAGTGGCCTGGGACCGAATTGGTTAGGCCTGCCCAACCACCCAGGAGTAAACGTGAGGTTCTCCCTGCTTCGCCTGTGCTGCTGGAAGAGCCTAGAGGGCTCACAAATTATTTCTGATTCTCACAAGTACGGAGGATATAACCAACTGGCGCATGGCAACTGTCTGCCACCCACCAAACGTTGCCGAATTTGACGAACTCAGGCCATATTGAAATTCAGGGGCCCGCCTTCACTTAGGGCGGGCTCAAGCTTGCTGAAAGGGCCCAACAGGGGCATGCCGAGGAGCTAACTCGTAACAAGGCCTCGTCGAATATACATGCCCACATGGGGGCTCCAACAGGCTCTGCTTGGGCACCTCAGCCTGGTCTCATAGCCCTATAAACAGGCATTGGCACATATTTGCAGGCCCGCCTTCACTTAGGGCGGGCACGGCACTCTCAGAAACTGCCGAGGGACTAAATCCTCGCATACCTTCCCCCTTAGCTTCAAAGTCCCGTGAGAAAGCCTTTTGTGCACTCGGTCTGTTACTCAGCTCAAAGTTGTTAGCTTGTCGAGAATCGCTGATGTAATTGCGAGCCTTCTCCCTGGTTTGAACTTTGGAATATACAGCATCACAGCTTCAGAGCTTGTCGTTGGGGTCTTCAGCCATGGTTGCGGGCAGCATGTATCTCCTTTTAAGGCAGGTACTCATACTCGGAGACAGTCGTAAGACATAGATGGCAGGATAGATGATTACGTGATTAGGTGATCTGGGCATCGCAGGAAAGTGTATGAATCGTTTGAGGACTCCATGCATGACCTCAAGATGTTCTTCTAAAGACTTCGGGCATCCCACTAAGACAGAATATTGTCAGATATTGCAGAGCAAGCTCAAGCTCGAGCTCGGACTCGGCTACCTGTCCATTTGGAGACGAGCAGACACCTACCCGTTTGACAACTTCAACTCCTGCCCACAATGGTTCGGCAGTTGCGATTCCTACATGTTATTCTGCTGGGGAAGTGTTACGAACTCAGCCAGGGCTCAATCCCTAGCACCCACCAGGCTGCTATTTCATTTTTGGTCTCTGTTCTCAGGCCCCTGACTGTTGGTGCCCGCTGCAGTTGCCGCCCGTTCTCAAATTCCTCTTTCGGATTTCGGTACTTGGCTCCATCCAGCAATCTGGCGCCCGGACTCAGACCTCCGATTTTCAGTTCAGCCCTGAGGCAATTTGCACTTCTGCCCTCGGGACTGAACTTGAGTCCGGTACTTAAGACCGGACTCAAGCCCAATATGGGCAACCAGTTTTCAACTTCATTGCTTGTGTTCAGTGTGACTATACTTCGACATTGTGTTCAGGAATCCAAGACTACGACTTTGGGACTTCGCCACTTTGTGTCTGCGTCCGTCGAGTCGTGTTGAGTAAGCGTGTGTGTGTGCTCTCACTCTCCCTCCCTCTCCCAGCCTCGCTGCCCTGTCTCCGCCTTGTTACACTGGTATCGGAGTGGTCTTGCGACCCTTCCCCCCCCCACCCGGCATCAAGACCAGGTCCATCCTGAATGCGAATTCACCGTGCTCGTCGCAGCTTCCATCTTTGTCATCTCCACCGTGCTCGTCGCCGTGACCTCCAAGCGCTGTGACCTCCAAGCTGCTGTGCTCGTCGTCGTCACCTCCAAGCATCGTGCTCGTCGCCGTGACTTCCAAGCTCCGCCACGATCATCTTCGTCGTGATCTTCGTCGTGCCGGCACTTCAGCGCCTTCCTCCTCATCGCAGCTTCACCCTGAACCTGGCCGGTGCCACGACCAGGTACGTGCAATTTTTATTTTTGTTTGTTTCTTACTTTTTCTTCCCCGACTCCGTCTTCCCCACTATTCTCTCTTCTCCCCCGCTACCACCTCGTTTGGCGCCCCCGC